TTTTTTTTTTTTTTTTTCAACACGCTGCAGAAAATGCAGGCAGAAAAAACGTACCTACCTCAGCTAATGGGATTTCAATTGTGTTGATAAGAGCTGATAAGGATCAAGACCATTGTTTTGGTGTGAGTTTCTCACTAACTGTTGACCCGTAATTCGGCCCACCTTTCCGGTACTGAATAAGAAACTCAACTGGATATCCCTTCAGCTTGCGAGGCGCAATCCCAAGATCCTCAAATGTTAAAGCTGGAAAACCATCACCAGTTAATGCTTTGCAAATGTATTAACTGGTTTGCAAATGTATGGAAAGACGTGAGATTATGAAATAGTTAATTCCTTTGAGAATTGAGAATAGTAGAATAATAATTAGAAATTATTATAATAGAATTTGAAAGATGATATGAAAATAGTAGAATAATAATTAAAAAAAATTATAATAAAAATTGTGTGAAATAGGTAAATAGTGAATTCCATTGAGAATTGTGTAGTAATTATTGGTTTTTTCTTCAATCTAGTGCAGATCGATCAAATGCTTTTTTTTTTTTTATAATTTTTTCTACCAATCAGAATATTGGGATAAGTTATTTCTCTATTTGAATGAAAATGGAAATTTCATAACCAAATAGCAGCGACTTTCTTGCAAGTGACCAAATTTTAATCACAGGCCTTAGTGTACTCATAAATCTATGTTACCCACCATCTTCAGATACCAATGTGTCGACTGAAAGGGCTTCAATCTGGTCCAGATTGAATATGGTTGGGGTAGGCATTGGGAATGGAACTTTCTTGAGAAATAATTCTCGTGGTGTGGCAATAGCCTGAAATGGAACATGAAAGAAGCATAATGAGATTAATCATCAGTCACATAAGAGTACCTGAAATGATGTTCACATAATGCAGACAAAACGACTTTGTGTTCACCATAAGCAAAGATGCTTGGTTCTAAATCAAAAGCGATGAAGTGAAAAATAAGGAAATAAATATATAAAAGAATAAAAATATAATAAATGATGGTGGAAAGGATTGAGTGGTGAAATGCATTACACACACCTCATATGACTACATGACAAACCTCAAACAAATTTACGTCAAAGTTTGAATATCAATTTATCAGCTAGAATAAAGAAGCATGGGAACAACTATGGGCAATTAATATCCAGTCTACCCCAAGGAAGAGATGCATGGTAAATATATTGGACGGTGAATCTTTATTATCCCTTGTTACAGAATGCAAATATCAAGCAAACGATATAGTGATCCTTTTTTTTTTGGTTAAGGATGCGGGGGTTGGGAATGATGCATGCTAGTGAGTTGTAAAGACTTACATAATTACCACATAAAATATACAAGAAACAAGGAAGAGCAGGATTGAAGACTTGCCTTGGCAATAGGCAAAGGAATCTTCACATAGCGAGGCCACTCACGAATTGTGTCATACATAAGTTCTGCCTATAACTCAGGGATAAAAATTCAATTCTTATTGCTTGAAAAACGACGTAAAATAAATATTGCACGATTCTTTTTTGTTCTAGATGGAAAATCACAGTACAATGATATACCAGTTCGTGCATGGTGTAAACATCCGGACCACCAAGTTCATAAACTTTCCCCATACTAGTACCATCATCTTTTAAGGCTGCAATAATTGCTGATGCAACATCAACAACGTACACGGGCTGAAACCTGAAGAGGCGTAATAATTACACGTTCAAACATGATTCGATAAACAATGAGCACGACCATATCTAAACAGTATGAAGCATACTTTGTCGATCCATCCCCTATGAGTGGGAGAAAACTGTACTTCTTTGCGAAATGTGCCCATGGGTTCAATATCCGATCCTCTGTGCCAATCATCACAGCAGGTCTCATAACTGTGGCCTGATAACAAATAGGCAGATTGGTCAGATAAGTTAAGAAAACCATGTGACAGTGCCACAAGGTGCGCCTTAAGTGCACCTACCTTAACAAAAACACAATCATGCATAAGATACTAAATCAACGAGGATTAACTACAAATGATAAATCACATAATGGTTCTGTTCAAATCTTTGAGGAACCAAGTGATATCTAAAATCGTCATAGCAACTTATAAGAAAATTAAGCCTGAGAATGCTGCCTCCTGGAAAGAAAAGGTCAGTCAATGTATTCATGTTGCTCGTCTTCAAACAGATCAATTGGAGAAAAGGAAACCAGGAAAACTTATCCAGGGGCTGCACCTTTAACACAGTATAGCATATTATTTGGAAGTTACATTTCAAAGCATGAAATGGAAGTCAAAGGTAACATCATGTTACAGGTGTATAGCTTCGAACTCCATACTTCAATCCAGCCATTTACTAACAATTTAAAAATTAAAACTGAAGTCCAAAAGAATAATTATCATATGGGCACACACAAAAACTGATAACAAGAAAAATAGATATCATAAACCAGTGGCACTGAAGATAACAAGTAAAAGAAGACGGCTCCATGTGAGCAAAGGTAATCAAAGGGTTAATGAACAATTTACCTCAGGCAGTTCTCTCAGGACAGCTTCTTCGGCAGCTGCTTTAGTTCGGAGCAACTTGGACTTAGATGATGAAGAAGCACCCAAGCAAGAAACTTGAATGTATCTCATAATGCCACCATGTTCTTTGGCAATCTGCATATACAAGATGCATCTACCATCACATTAAATCAATCTACAAGAGATATCAAAAGACAAAAGGGAACCTAACTGATGTTACATGATAAAGAACCATAAAGATGTATACACACATACAATCAGGAGTCACAAACAAGATTTCCATGTGCTGACTAAATGAATCCAATGTTAAGACACAACTAACGCAAATGATTTCTCAAATTAAATAGTTGGGGTGGGATGACTAAAACCAACAACGAAACCACAGGGACCAGTAAAACTACTTCTAATTGCCATCCCTTCTCTAATTTAGTTTTAACACAAAACTTCTTAGGCATTCCCCTCACCCTTAGCTCCTTGATCCTAAAACGAAAAACCACCAAAGTCCAAGCTCGTACGTTGCTCCTCTTTAATTGAAACAATAATAATGTCCTCTAGCGTCTCAATTCTAGCGTGTAGGCCTTCCAATATGATCTATCGATGCTACTTATATATTCACAAATGATGGGACTCAAAGATTTGCGCATGAACATATCAAGAGTTGGTCAGAGATAAAGTAGGAAGAAGCTAATCAATATCGAGTGATAAAGAATATTAGGTTCATTATTTGCAACATAAGATAAATGCATAATTGCCCTAATTCAGGAAGTTCATAAAGGTAACACCATTCTAATATTCATTTTTTTATTATTGTTTGTATGATGGGCACCGATGATCTTTTCTCTCTTCTCTTGAACAAGATGGTCCATACATACACAATCACCTGAAGCATTTCTCCATTGGGAGCAAATGAAATGTGAAAATGAAAGTTGCTAACAATCAAAGAAAGAAAAATTTGTAGTAAGCCCATTTGACGATAGATAATAGATTCGAAACCCATGGTATGGCTACATTCAAATGTTATCCTCCCTGTAGAACACCAAGAACGATACCGGACACCTTTGTACTGTTCTCTAAAATGACGATCAAATCCAAGTAACAATTCAATAATGGTCAACGGAAAGAGGAAAACCGTAAGAACGGAAACATACAACAGCCAGCTGTTCAGCAATGTGATGGTTCACTTCTTCAAAACTGTAATTTCTGGTCTCGTATTCCCTTCCTGTTTCAGGAGTCATGCCATGTGTACTTAAAGTAGTTGAGGATACAAAATGCCTATAATATCCAAGTGATAATTACACCTAACCTATAAGATTAATAACAACATTAGCCTTTGCCATCACGGCCTTGACTGAATCTTCATCTCTAGGATTGTATTTCATAGGGACAATCTGCAGGTTTACAAAGTATAAATTCCAAATCGTATGTATAAAGAACTAAAATATTTATCACGGTTAAAAGAAATCTATTCGATAGTTCACCTGACCCAAGTCACCCATCAACTTAAGGTGACGAGGAGAATCTTCGGAGCCTCGAAATGGGACCAACACTTGAGAACCCATCTTAGCTACATGTAGAACAGAAATGCAAACTCACAAATTAAAGGCAACGGTCAAATTCTATAATATATCCACAGTGCAAGGATCATGCCACTGACCAAGTTGCTGCACTAGGTATCGTCCCAGAAACCCTGTGGCCCCAAATACTGTTGCGACAATGCCACTGCCAGACAAAGCACCATTTTCAGCGTCAACTCCAATTAAAACATCCAGAATTTCAGATATGCAAGCAAATCAAACTTCAGAAATCCAATGAAAACTGAAAAGGATGGGATCTAATCTTAAATCAAAACCTTATTGCCATAACTAAAAATAAATCTACGAAAAAATAATTGAAAATTTTTCTGAAGCAGGAAATGCTTGCGAAAGGCCAAATTAGGGCTTCGATTATGAACTTTACCTAACCGATGATCTGCCACCAGTGCCCTTACGAACTAAATGCCCCACTCCTTTGGTGGCAAGAGTCGAAGCCATCCTCGGATTCTCCGCACCATAATCTGAACAAAACAAATTACATTTCAAAAACCATTTTCATCCATAAATGCGAGTAATTAGGTCGAGAAATTTTGAGAAATCAATTACACTGATCGGTTAGGGGATAAACTGATTTCAAAGAAGAACGCGGGGCGGCGGAGTGCTGAATGTGGTGGTGCGCCAATCGCCTGTAAACGGTCTGCATCGTTGCTTTCACGGCGGAGCTCGGGGAGGATAGAGAGAAGCTGGGAATATTTTGAGGAAAAAATACAGAGTGAAAACGGGTTTTAAAAACAGTGCACCGGCAATATAACGCTTTCAGCTAATTAAATTTAAAACGAAAAGAAAAAAAAATAGATTTTGTTAATTTAATCATTTTCAAAATCAAATTTTGTCTAATGAAAACTTAATTTAAATGTAAATATTACAATATATGTGAAAAAATATAATTTCAATAAAAATCAGTTTCAAATTCCAACAAAATATTCTAGTATATTATTATTTATTAGAAAGTTACAAAGTTGTACAATACATCTGAAATTTTAATTTGAATGTTTTATCATTGAATTTTTTTTTTTTTTTTTAATTGAAATATCGCATTTTGTTGTATGTGTAGTAAGCTCGTATTTTTATGAATACATTATATTTTTTATTAATCAAATCCGTTTAGAGCCAATTTTTGCATTTTAAAGTACGATCACAAATCTTGTTGTTGAATTGCCTAATGGTTAAGTAGTTTTTTTTTTTTTTTGACAAATATACATAATTTATGAAATGTTATACTTTTATTTACATTTGTTTAAAAGCATAAATTTGAGTATGAAAGTATGTCAATTATTTGAAAAAAATATAAATATCAGAAAACAAACTACAAAAGTATTATCAACTCAAAAGTAACCTATTTTTATTGCACATTGTAAGATTACAAAATTGCTGCCTCTTCATCAATTAGTACCTAAGCTCATTATTCTACCAAAAGTTCTGTTTTTTTTTTTCTTTTTCTTTTTTTTTTTGGTTCCCAATATGATAGCCTCAGGCTGCACACAGTCGATTATCGACATTTCATTCTCGGGATTTCACAACCATAAAAACGAGAAGCGAGTCAAAAATCGGAAATGGAATTTGAACGCGAAGAGTACTCAGATACGAGCCTGAGGAACATGGAGGACTTGTCCTCTATTAGCCGTGCTGGCGAATCAAACTCCGCCACACGACCTGCAAAACATCCACAAAGATGACACCGTCAGATTTTAGAAAAAACGCGTTATTTTGAAGGAAATTCTAATATGCTACTTTGAGCTACTTACAGAAAAAATTGATAGACAAGCAGCACAGATTTGCTTCAAAAAGGTAGATTTTGTAAGTATCCCACCATGCTAAATTTTCTAAGCCAAATAACACATAGCTTCTTCTAACAGGTGAAATAACTCGGAAATTTTATAAAAAAAAAAATGGCATGAAATGAAGCTCACCATCACTGAGGACCAAAACCAGGTCGCTATCGATGACAGTAGGTATACGGTGAGCAATCGTACAAACAGTGCAATCCTTAAATTCTGATCTTATAATCTTCTGGATTAGATTGTCTGTAGCTGAGTCCACCGAGGCTGTGGCCTCATCAAGCACCAGAATTCTCGCCTGCTTAAGCAAAGCCCGCCCGAGAGAAACCAGCTGCCGTTGGCCCACGCTCCAGTTATCTCCACTTTCTAGAACTTTAAAAATCAGCATAAAACAAATAATATGTGGTTAGTTAGTCCGCTTTTGGGGCTTCCCATTTGCCATGTTAGAAGCTTGATTTTCAGACAGAAGTATGTAAATTTGGTTTTACCTGGTGTGTCGAGCTTGTGTTCTTTCTGGCGGATTATGTCCCCTAGCTGTGCCTTGTCAAGTGCCTGAAACGTCTCGTAGATAATATAAACATCATTTAGGAAATATAAAAGAGTAACCTGAGACTTAAGTATAGTTACAAAAAGGTTAAAATATTGTGTATTCTTTCAGAATTACATAAAAAAAATCAAGGCAAAAATGCATTTTTTATAACGTCATAGCAATTTTAGTCCCAAGATTTCAACTTTTCGTCTTTTGGTCATGTGATTTAATATTTTGTTTTAAGATTTTGCTGTAATTTTAGTCCTTTGAAGACTGATTACAACAAAATTTTAAATTATAGGATTGAAATTGCAACAAAATTTTAAATTTACAGGACTTAAAATTGCCATCGAAAATCTGGAAATTTGTTGCAATTTCAGTCTTCAAATTACTCAAATGAGTGAAATTGCATCAGAATATTAAATCACATGACCAGAAAAGTTAAATGTTGGAACCTTGGGACTAAAATTGTTATGACGTTAAACTAGCAGGACTAAAAATACAATTTTGCCAAAAATCAATGCATGCTTACAAAGAGAAAAAAGAAAGTAAGAATGAGTCTTTACCTGCCAAATTTCTTGATCCGAATGCTCTTCAAGTGGGTCGAGATTTCCTCTGATAGTTCCGTCAAATAGTGCTGGATCTTGAGGAATGATACTCAACCGATTGCGTAGGTCATGAAGACCGATTGTTGCAATATCTATATTGTCTATAATTATTCTGCCACCTGATGGCTCAATCAATCGAAATAAGGCTTGAATCAAGGTCGATTTACCACTCCCAGTTCGTCCAACAATTCCGATTTTTTCCCCACCGGGGAATTTACACGAGACGCCATGGAGCACAACAGGAAGACTCTCCTTGTAACGAACCTATAGCAAAAGAAAAAAATAAATTTTTCCAAAAGTTTGTTATTTTACTTGTCCTACTTCCAGTTAATATCTGCTTTAAATTCTAAATGCTATGAACTTTAAAAATTTAAAAAAAAAAAAAAAATACTTTTAAGTCAATTAATTCGATTGTGCCGATCTCAGGCCAAGACGACGGGGGGCGAGAGTCATCAATAACTGCTGGCGCTTCACTTGGTATTTGGCAGTATTGATGGATCCTTTCTATTGAGATTATTTTGTTTTCAAGTTTGCAAAAGCTAAGTATCCATCTTGACAGGCGCGCATTCATATTCAGACCATACGTCACAGCAAGCCCCGCCATACCTGAAAAGGAAAATACTTTAAATTTTATTGCACATGAAAGTAGACATTCAAGGAATATATATACATAATGCGAACCCGAAAAAGTCAACATGCATTGCATTTACGTTTCAAGAAGAGTGGTTTTTTTACGTACTTGGGTCAATAGCTCCCCTAGGAAAGCTCACAAGTAAGACCATGCAAAAAGCAAAAACAAACGTTGAAAGCAACTCCATGCGCAGACAAAGCCATTCGATAGCTGCTAGGCTACAAAAGAATGGACGAGCAAAGGAATCAAGGAGATGAAGATTCCTCTTCATGAATCTCTTTTCCTGCCCGAAACCTCTAATTGTAGCTGCCCCGCTAATTGATTCGGCAAATAGGTTAATTATCGGTGATTTCTGAATGCTCACGATCCGGACTAGTTCTCTGGATGAAGCCATATAATATTTCTGCATTTTGTCAGGACTAAAATGTAATTTCAAGTTGTTACCCGGTAACTGTCAATAAGATTGTCGTACAAAAAGAACTACTTAATTACAGAAGATAACCCAAATGTTTACACCTTAACTACAAATGCAAAAAAGAAACAAAGTAAAGAAAGGAAAATGTAGTTTTCTTCTTGTTTTGACCAACAAAAGTGCAGCCACAAGAGGGTCGTATAATGGAATAGTATCTTTTTCGGAACAAAAAATCATAAATGGTCTTCCCAGAAATTCAACAAAATATCAGGGGCAGTGTGACTAAACGTCTAAACCTTAATAATAAATCGAAGGCATGCATTCATATAACTACTTCATTTGCAGGTAAAGACATAACATACCTCCAGAATCTGAGAACATCTAACTAAAATACCCAAAAATAAATAAATATTAATTGCATGCCATTATTGATTTACCTGCATCCACAAGCAAGCAATAGCCATCGGAATAACTAGTAGCAATATCTGCCACGTAACTTGCGTCATCACACCAATAATGCCGAGTAGTTGGATTGTTGTCGAAGCAAATCCACCAAGCCTGAAGGGAATATCAAGATCAACAACACTTTGATCAACAGACACCTGCCAATCAGAAGAAAGGAACCATTATACGAACGAAAGTATCGATCATGAGACTCCAAAAAAAAAATAAAAAATTCCAATTAAATAAATATAAGAGAGGAAAAAGCTGCATGAGTTTACACGATTCAATATTCGTCCAGCTGGAGTAGAGTCGAAAAAAGACATCGGTGCCCGGAAAATCGATCTGAGCATTTTCACGAACAGCTTCTGTGAGGCCTCGAGACCAAACGCAGCAACAAGAATGGCCCTCACGAATATAAACAACGAGCTCCCGAAAGCAAGTGCCATATAAACTAGGATAAGCACCATGTTGCCCGTCTTAGGTTCGTCCCCAGCCGTCTGTGGGTTAGCCCAGGCCATCCACCAGCTGCTCGCTATCTGAAGGACTTGAAACAATGTCTGGGCAAGAACAATCAAAGGGATCAAACAGCCCTTATAAGCGGCTGCCATATAAGACAAGTACACTTTCATGCTGACCCGCCCTCTCACGCGTTCTTCCTCCTGCACGAGCTGTTTTTTTCTCGAGCGTTTAGTTTTCTTCTTTTTCTCTTTAATTGCTTTCAGGCCCGAGGAGGACACGCCTTCGTGGGCCCCGGAAGCCATAACGGACATGTTGTTGCCGACGGAGTCGCATTTTTTGCTCATTAGAACGGACCTATCGAGAGGGTCACTTTTGTCCGATTCTTCGGAAGCTGGGTTGCAGAAGTCCATGGCTTCAATGGCTTCGTGATGTGCGGAGACCAGTGTGTTGAAATCCGTGCCTGCTTGGAGAAGCTCGTCGTATTTTCCAGCTTGAATTATACGGCCTTCCTTCAGGACCTATTGACAGGGTACAAGGACATGCTGGTAATTAATTATAATTCAATTTGAAAATGAGATGCCTACCTTATATATATATATATAT